CCCCCTGATTGGCCCTGCTCTGTGCGTGACAGGGGGTGGCACTGCAACCTCCCCATCGACCCTGCCTTGAGTGTGACAGGGGGCGGTGCCCCAACCCCCCAATCGGCCCTACCCTGAGCGTGACTGAGGGTGGCATTGCAACCTCCCGATCCGCCCTGCTCTGTGCATGACGGGGTGGCGCCCCAACTCCCCAATCGGCCCTGCTCTGAGCCCGACCAGGGGCTGCACCTAGGGATTGGGCCTGCCCTCTGCCACCCGGGAGCAGGCCTAAGCCAGCAGGTCGTTATCTCCCGAGGGGTCCCAGACTGTGAGAGGGCACAGGCCGGGCTGAGGGACCCCCCTTCCCCACCGAGTGCACAAATTTTTGTGCACCGGGCCTCTAGTATATATATATATACATACACACACACACACACACACACACACACACACATTTGCATATACACACACATACTTTAGTTTTTCTTATTTTTAAACATTATAAAACTGATATTATTGCTTTATTTACTCAATTATGTATTTCTTTATTTAAATACATTTTTGTTGGCTTCAGAGAGGGAGAGGGAGAGAGAGGTAAAAACATCAATGATGAGAGAGAATCATTGATTGGCTGCCTCCAGCACACCCTACACTGGGGATCGAGCCTGCAACCCTGGCATGTGCCCTGACCGGGAATCCATCGTGACCTCCTCGTTCATAGATCGACACTCAACCACTGAGCCATGCCAGCCAGGCTCAGTTACGTATTTCTAAGATTCATTCACATTGTAACATGTAGCTGTAGTTTATTAAGTTTTCTCTGCTGTATGATATTTTACTGTGAATAAACCACAATTTATTTCTATTCTCTTGTTGATGGACATTTAGATTATTTCAATTTTTTTAAATGAAAGATGCAGCTATACATATTCTTATATGTGTTTTAAGATCTACATGTTTAAGTTTTTCTCTATGGTGGCTTTCTAGGAGTAGAATTCATGAGTCATAGAGTAGAATAATGTTCTTTTTTACAAAATAATGTTTTTTCCAAAGTGGTTACACCACATATATTTCTGCCAGCACTGTGTAAAGAGTTGCCATTCATCCACGTTCTTGTCAACATTTGTTTTGTCAGATTTAAAATTTTTGACTCAAGTGTGAAAATGGGATCTTACTTTTGTATTTTTCAGATTACTAATAAATTTGAAATCTTTCCATATATTCATTGATCATGTGTGTGTCATCTGTGATGTCCTTACCATTTTCCTGTTGACTTGTCTTTTTTTCTTTAGTTTGTCTTAATTCTTTATATAGTCTGAATACTGATCCTTTTTTGGTTATTTCCGGCAAATATCTTTTTTCAAGGTGCAACTTATATTTTACTTTCTCTATGGTGACTTTTGATGAACAGAAGTTTTTAATTTCAGTATTCTTGATTATCAAACAATTTAATGGTTAGGTTTTATGAAAAAATTAAAATACCAATCCATGGGAATGAAAATATTACCTTATATTTCTGTTTCAGTTTTTCTCTACACATTTAAGTCTTTCCTGTGTCTGAAATTGATTTTATGTGGGGCATGAGGTAGGGATTCACATTCCTCCCCCTACTCACCCTGAGTGGATAACTACTTGTCTCAGGTTCCATTTATTGAATCCATTTTTTAAAATACTGATCTGAAATGCCACCTCTCTCTCTCATATATTCTCGTATATGCTGTTTCTCAGATGTGTGAAGCTTTATTTTGGTAGTGTTGTTTTTGTATCCTCACCAAGGATATGTTTTTATTAATTTTGAGAGAGAGAGAGAAACATCAGTGTGAGAGAGAAGCATCGATTAGTTGCCTCCCATACACACCCTGACTGGGGATAGAACTTGCAACCTAGGTATGTGCTCTGACCGGGAATCAAACTTGCAACCTTTTGTTGTACAGAATAACACTCTAACCTACTGAGCTACCTGGCCAGGGCTATTTTAGTATTTCTTATCTTAATTCTGGTTACTTTATTTCTCTGCACAGTACTATAACCTCTTAATTACTATAGCTCTCCACTTTCTCCTTCCCATCCCCCCTTCTAATGGAAGCTATTTTTCTACTATCTTTTGTCTTTCATTCTTTTTTTTAAATATTTTTTTTATTGTTTAAAGTGTTACACATAGTAGTACATTTATCTCCTTTTTTTTTTCCTCATTGACCTTCCCCCAGCCTCCCCTTAATATATTTTTTTATTGTTTAAAGTGTTACACATAGTAGTAACACTTTTTTTTCCTCATTGACCTTCCCCCAGCCTCCCCTACCGCTGTCGCATGCGGTCATCTCACCCCCACCCCCTCAGTGTCTTGTGTCCATTGGTTGTGCTTATATGCATGCACACAAGTCCTTCGGTTGATCTCTTCCAACACTCCCCAGCTTTCAAGTCTTCTATTCATCCTAGTTGTTTCTTGGTCTTTGTCCTTGTCCTTCGATTTTACTACAGTATATTTCCATTAAGTTTTTTAGTTCAGCAAGTATGCCTTTTTCTTCTGAAGGTTCAGGTTAGCCTTTTCAAGTATATCTATAATTTCTAATATGTGATCCTCAGCTTTTATTCCTTTAAATTGCTCACATATAATAATTCTAAATTCGTTATCTGATTATCTGAAATCTTTGGGAGGGGGTCTGAGTCTGATATTTGCTGTTTCTGAGGTTCTTGTGCATGGTGATAGATTTCCTTTGGTGTTTGGTGATCTTTGATTGAGTTTCAAGACGGCGGCTGATCTTAATCTGCAGAAAACCTGGGTGTTTCAGATGATGGAGTTTCACCAGGACAGCATTTGCATTTGTTTCTTCCAGGAACCAGGGAGTGTACTTAACCCTAGAGCCTTGGTTCTTTTGCCACTGGCAGTGGTAATAAGAGATTTACCCTCCAGATAGCCCCGTTTCACTGCCCTGGTTTCCATTTGCTTTGGGAAAGGAGGATGTGGATCATTTGGAGGTATATTTACCTCCTTTGAGTCCCAAATTACAACCCATATTTTTATGTAGAATCTAGTTCTATAGTTACGGACATTTCATTTCTCAGTCAGAAGCAGGAAATATCTGGGTATATTTTCATTATCACATTAGATATATGTCATCTTCCTTTAAGGCTGTGTAATTTTTTTTTATATACTGTTGTTCTTCTAAATATTTTATTCATGGCCTTCACCTGTTTCTTGGATTAATAATTATTCTGTCTTTTATTTATACATCTTAGTCCTAACTTCTCAGTTGTTTGTTTAATGTTTATTCTTTAGTTCATTGAATCCAGGGTTTTTTTTAATACACTCTACACCGGAGGACCTTAAATTTACTTCTTCATTCCCAGCTTTATCCTCTGTCTCACAATCCTGGATTTTCGTTGCCTATGTATAAGATATTCTCTTTGGATATTCAGCTCAAAGATGAAAATTAAAATATCAGAAACTTCATCTTTTGTTCATCATCCTACTTTTCTTCCTTCCTTTGTCACCATTGTTCTGATGATCCCCTAGAGTCGTATCCTTTTGTGATTTAATTTTACTCCTCTGCCGTTCTGCAGTTTTTTTATTTATCTTTTTACCTTCCCCCCCCCCCCTTTTTTTTTAACCATCAAAGGCCTTATATGCTCATTCCTGAACTACCAGTTCAGTGATAATTTTCTTCTTATCACTAATGCATCCCGCAGATACTAAACTTTTCTTTCTGGTTATGTTTTTAATCACAACAAGCTATTCTCTAGAACATACAGTTGCTCATTTTGTCAGTATTGGGTTGAAATTCCTAAACCTGGTATTGAAGGCCCACTTGTAGCTGCCTCTTTTAGAAGGTGGTCTGCATTTTCTTGTTATCTTTTTCTTCTTCACCTGCCTGCCCTGCTTGGCCTGCTATAATCAGGTTCTGTCCCTGCACATACAACTTGCTCATTGCCACTCAGTGCTTCCTGCCTTGAATCCCCTCCTGCCTTCTCTCTATCACTTCATGTCAGTTGCCTTCTTGAACAGCTGTCCTGTAACTGTGAGCCAATTATGGTAACACTATTCTGCATACCTTGTAGAGAGAGTTTATTTGTATATTTTCCTTATGTATCTTGTAATCATTTTGTGTAACTTGTGTATGTTTTGTCTCCCCATGCAAGTCATAAATTTTAGAGGATGCAGGTTGCCTCCAAGTGTTTTAGTGCTCTGTGTGTAATACACGGTCCAGTGTTGAATGCTGCTCAGGAAGGTGTTTCACGGCTACAAGGAAGGCACTGAGTAACCTTTAGTAAAGTCTCGGTGGAGTCCATGCCTTCCCTGCCAGCACACTCACCATCTGAGGGTAAACTTGGGCCTTCTGGAAAAGTGCATTCACTATATATGTATGCTTGAGCAGAGGAACAAATAGAACTTCAAAATAAATCATTTCTATATAATTTGCCATTTCTTCTCAGTAGATCAGTTCAATTGAATATCAGTTGACAAAGTAGAAGTCGTAAATTTCAGATCTTGAATAATTTATATTTCAATTATAGTAAATTGTGAACACATCCTTCAAAATGGAAAATAGCATTCAATTTTGTTGTTGCTGTTATTATTTTTTGTTTCTTTTCCTTTAGAAATGTGGACTAGAAACTTAACAGTCTTATAAAAATCAAAACTTTCCATTAACTAATGCAATTCTTCTTTTTGTCTGAAGATCTTAGTTCGAAGAAGCAGCAGCTCCGCCGAATTGGATTTAAAAGATGATTTGCAGCAGATGCAAGGAAAATGTAGGGAAAGACAGAAGAGTAAGTTCCAGGAAGTGTGGTCTGTGTTCGTCCAGATTCAGAGCTGATGTACTTTGTTTTCTTTGTGCTTCTAACTTGAATAATATCATCTGAAGAGACATAGTTGTGAAATGGGAACATTTTATTCCTGGAATTTCAGGAGTGATGGGCAGTTAGTTCACACGTACAACCTGAACAGTTCTAGTCACTTACCTGAACCTTAGAGGCCTGTCTTTCCACCCCTGGGCCCTTTCCTAGGTGAGAGGCTCAACCAAAAGCTAATGCTAAGTGAGCAGACAGACTCAGAAGGAAAAGTGATCTTCCCTAGAAAGTTCCTACCAGCTTGGAGCAAAATGCTTCAGAAGTACATTGCAGTCAATAGTATAAGTATTTAAAAAATAAAATGTGATTGGAATCCTGACACATTATCATGTACTGTAAAATGTGGCCCTAATACTCTGCTTTCCCAAGGGCAGGTTTTGGGCCACCTCCTTTTCAGAGCAGCATGATAGACAACTCGGGTCCGGGGTGGTTTGGTGGGGTGTGCAGGAGCTTCTCTTGGCTCCTCCTTCAGGTCCTGTTGGCTTAGAGATCCGTGGTAATGAAGTAAGAGACCTGTCAGGTTGGTGACTGGGACAACTTTCAATTCTTTGCAAGTGAAGGAAGAACAGCAGATTAGCAGCAGCAAAGCTGGGCACTGTCAGCACAGATACAAAAAGGAGCTGAAAGAGTGAGCAGACAAAAAGGGTGGACACACAAAATTATTATGAGGTAGACAGGAGACTTGGAGAACTAAACTGTCTAGGTCTGTTTTGTGTTAGACAAAATAGCCCTATTAGGCTTAGTAGCCTTTGAAAAGCATCATTGTATTATGACAGATTACAACTTTTTATTATATAAAAGAGAGACTTTCTATTGGAGACAATGTTTTGTAGTAGAACATCTCATCCCCCTGTGCTCTAGGGGCCCCAGCCTGGGTTGTATCGCGGGGGGTCTCTCTTCTCTGAGAGCAGCACGGAAAAAGAGCAACCGGTTCTTTGAGTAGAGGCGCTGGGGATTGAGAAATGAAATAAAGAGACAAGACACAGAAATAGAAGGAGAAGCTGGGACCGGGTGGGCTTCTGCCCTCTGATGGAGGGACAGACCGCCCAACACCGGAAGTAAGTTTAATTTATACTCAAAGTAACAGGAAGTTACATCACATCTGGGTGGGCCTTGAGTTCCTGGTGACATAATGGGATCCACCCCCCTAGCACCTGGGTTGGAAAGATCAGACTGATTGACGTCCTTGCCTTTTGGCTAGGACCGCCTCCAGGGCTTGTCTATGCCTGCGCCATTGGTTCAGTTGACAATATTTTTAAGAACACCCGTTGTGCCTTGCCAGGGGCCCCCCACAGGGTTGAGGTCTAGACTCAGACTCAAGATATAAAGCATCACTAGACTTTTCTAGCCAGCGGAATAAACTTGCATTTATATGGACCAATTCGCCCCCTTTTCTTCCACCCACCCCCATTTTGTAGTTGAATAAGTTTCAGTAGAAAACTTAATGACTTGATGTACATCTTTTGGGCATATGGTATATGAGTTGAAGCCCCTTGAAAGGAATGCTATTTGGGTGATACATAGTGGAGCTTGTAATGACTGTTAATGCTCAGCACTTGGAAGCTCTGTTTGGTTGAGCAAGAGCCCCAAACCAGCCCCTTTGAGCCCCTATGCCCTGCATGTGTCAGCTGTTTAGTTACTTATGTGGGGGTAATTGTGGCTATTAGTTATCTCAGACTTTGGTTCTTCATTATGCCAGGCGAAAGTGTCAGCAGTGACACGGCTCTGGGCTATAACAATGAGGCCGAGTTGTCCATGAGCTCATGGCAGACCTGTGAGGAAGATGCAGACCTGAACACTCCCACAGATGTGGCTGACTCCGATGCCCGCCATTGGTTACAACTGAGTCCCGCCGATGCTTCAAACTTAACAGGTAACAATGCTAACGGCTGGGAAATCCCGCAATATCCAGTTGTAAGAAATTTAGGGATCCTTTAGCACAGTGACGATGGGGGTGCCACTTCTAACCAAATTGGTTGTGGCAGCCCCAACCACCTGTTTATAATCAGCCATGAGTTCTGAGATGTGTATGGTGAGGGTTCTGAAACAGTGGCCAGGTAATGGGAAGATGCATGCCATGCCCACAGCCACAGCCACCACAGGAGGAGGCGAGGACACTCATATCAAGCTTCACTCTGGAAACAGAAGAGTGATTTTATCTACTTTATAAGGGCCCTAAATCAAGATAAGTTTAAATCTTTGACTAGCTTATTGATTCATATGTTTTTGAAATTTTACTATAAAATACTTGATACACACAAAGTAAGTTGTGACATGTATGTAAGTAATAAAGTAAGCACCAGTGAGCCTAGTATACAACTGAAGAAACAGAGCAGCATCCAAACCAGTACGATTTCCCGGAGCGTCTCCTTAAGTCCCTTCCTTCTCCTATCTTCCTGTGACCCAATCTCAAATTTTTTATGATCCCTTGATTTCTTTATGGTTTTACCACATATATCTGTGTCCTCAAACAAACAAATATATCCTATTTTAAAGTTTTTAAAAAGGATTTTATACTCTGTATTTTTCACACCTTTTACCCCAAGTATTTTATTTCTGAGATTCATGCACTGACTACAGAACCAAACTTTCTGAGTCTGCATCCAGGCTCTGCCAAGGAATTGCTGGGTGGCTTTGAGCAAGTTACCTAATTTCGCTCTCCTTCAACTTTTTTCTTGTAAAATAGGAATAATAATAGTCCCTACTACAGGGTTGTTGGAGGAATGAATGAGTGAAAATAAAAGTCTAAAGCTTTACCTTAAATAGTTGTGTATTTTTTAACAAAGGAAACTTTGGTTTCAATTAATCATAACATAAAATTTAACCAAAACCCCTGATATTTTGGAAATTCCTGATGGAGTAATGTTAAAACTTCATAAAATTTACATGGAAAAATGTTGTTGGATAAAATATTTTATGTATAAGATACATAACCACTCACCTGCCTGCCTGATCGCCCCTAACCTCTCTGCCTGCCTGCCTGCCTGATTGCCCCTAACCTCTTTGCCTGCCTGCCTGATCGCCCCTAACTGCCTCTGCCTGCCTGCCTGCCTGATCGCCCCTAACCTCTCTGCCTGCCTGCCTGCCTGATTGCCCTAACTGCCCTCCCCTGCCTGTCTGATCGCCCCTAACTGCCTCTGCCTGCTGGCCTGATCACCCCTAACTGCCCTCCCCTGCTGGCCAGATCTCACTCCCAGCTGCCCTCCCCTGCAGGCCTATTCTCACCCCCAACTGCCCTCCTCTGCCAGCCATTTTAGTTCTGATTGGTCAGTTTCTATGCCAGTCAGCGTCTCTGGCCTGTCATTGGGGCCTGATCCAGACAGGCGGGGCTGATTAGCAGCCCAGGTGGAGGCCTGGAGAGAAATGGAGCTGAGGCTGTTGGCCAGGCTGAGAGAGAAAGAGAGGCAAGTTCTGATCAACAGCTGCCACAGAGGCTACGGATCAGACCCTGCCTCTCTCTCCGCAGGCCTCTCTCCGAGCCTGATCCATAGCCCCCTAGGCAGTCAGTGCTGGGTCGGGGTGCCCGCAGCGGCCCCACTCAGTACTGTGTCACCACGGCAACCCAACACTGACTTCCGGTCTGGTCGAGCCTTCGGTTGTTACGACCATGGCTCTTTACTATATAGATGATTTTGAATAATAATACTGTAAACTTATGGAATTTAACAGTTTACAAATAACTTTTTGATTCTGTATGGTAAGCAGGCCAAGTCTTACAAATTCTGTTTTAGAGATGGGATTACTGAGTCCCAGGGAAATCTTGTTAGCTAGACAGTAAGTGCCAGAGTTAGAACTGGATTTTAAAGTGTTTTGACTCCATATACAGTGTTGTCTATCCCCTTCCACCCCATTGGTGTTAAAATGACAACAGCAAAACCCTTTAAACTACTTGAGAATCATTAATACATTGATGCAATAAATGGCTTCTTTGGGCCTAATATACGGACTACCCAGGGGGAACTCATGGTGGCATTATTGAAGGCAAGACTGAATCTTTAATAAGTTGAATTTATTTAAGCAAGAACTAGTTTTAATCATTTTTATTGAAAAGAAAGAAAATTGGGTGATTACTTCTTTTGTCTGTCCTTTGGATAGTTTTGTTTTGATCCTATTTCAGAGTATGCATGGGATAGCTCAATTTAATAAACTTATGTGAGGTAATTGTATATGATGTACTCTCTGTGTCATGATTAATTCCTCCAAATACTTAGTTCTTTGAAATACTAATATAGAGAATCAGTACACTCAGTTCAATAGTTCATCTTGTCATCTGTGAAAAGGACAAACTGTAATATGATAAGGTTTAAGGATTATCACAGTTCTGAATTTAACTTTCTGTTCTTGAGAGAAGGATTTCTTTATAAATATACAAAATAAAACTCATGTTAGCCTGACCTTTAGGGCATGCAAAAAGAGTGATCAGACAATTTGAGTATATCTGTTTCTCATTGAATAATTCTACCAATTATCAAATGCTTAGAACAATAAACTTCTAAAATCTCATATTCCTCATCATTGGCAAACTAACGGTTTAGTTTTATATTTGCTTTCTCATTTAAATCACTTCATGTTGGCTGAAAATAACAGCTAAATGTATTGTGCTTTGTTTCAAAATGTACCTGGGATTTGTTTTAATCAGGTATGGTACAGCATACAGACATGGAAATGATTATCCTGAAGGAAGAAGTTTATACTTACTGGTCCCTAGAAACTGGAGGCATGGCCTGCTGTGCAGGAGGGCCACACAGGGAAGACCAGAGTTGGTTAGGAGACAGTGGGAAAGAGGACAAACCTGAGCAACAGCCTTTATTGTCATTCCCATGGAAAAAGCAAGGCAAGACAGGGTAAGCAGAGTTAGGATTGGCGAGTTGGAACAATTTCAGCAGACTCTGGAGCATAGATGCTGTCCCTAGTTGCCGAGTACCTGGCCCTGAAGTGTCTGTGGTCGGGGGGTTGGGGGGTGAGAGTGGGGGTGGGGTATAGGCTTGATGTAGAAGAGCCTGGTAAAGGAGGTATGGGAGGTATGAGCTTTGGATTGGTAGTTTGTACAAGAAAGGAACCCTTCCTGGTGAGTTGTTAGCTATCTCTAGGAATTAGTAACCCTGGGAGGGGCAGTCCCTTCCTGGTCCGGAGGTGCCAGATGCCAGAGCATCTGTTGGTACTGCATCCACTTTGTTCTGTTGAGGTAATAATTTTGAGGAATATTTATGACTATAGTAAAGAATCAGTGTTGCTGCTGGCTCCATCTCCTATTTAGCCAATATGCTTCCAAACTAGAAATATGATTTTGATGCTATAAGAAATAAAAATGTGAATAAATCATAGTCACAACTGGCTTACCAAGAGGACAGAAAACATTTATCCTGATAGTGGCAAATAATGTGATAAGTGCTATGAGATTCATTTAAAGAAACTTTTAATCACAGGGATAGAGAAATAGACTATAGAATAGAATATAAAGTACATAACTGAATCCACACGGGCATGGAATCATGATATTATGGAAGAGGTGACACATTCCAGATCTGGCAAGGAAAGGATTTACTGTTTAACAAATGCCTGTGGGATAAGTATTTAGCCATATGGAAAGAAAGGAAATAGAATATCTGCCTTACAACATGCCCATAGTCAATTCCAGATGGATAAAATACTTAAATATAAAAAATAAATTTTAAAAACTTTTGCAAGAAAATATCTTCTAAAACATGTCTTAAGACCTTGGGGTAGGGAAGGTTTTCTTAAATGAGATGTTTAACCCTAAAGGGCAAAGGCCAGCTTTGGTGCTCTTTCCTTTCCAGGCTCCTGTCAGGTCAGGAATGTGTTTTAAGATGAGGTTTAAGAAATGGTGTCCAACATTTTGCTTTAGTGGGGAGGGAGTCAGTAGTCTCCCCTCACTGGAATCCAAGCTGGGGGGTGGGGGGAGTCATTGTTTGTGTTCACTGCTGATTCTTGGCTTCTAGAATTGTATATGACAGGAGAGGAACATTAGTAAATACTCGGATCAATGAATAAATAAGCTCTAAGTCCAGGCTATTGTTTTATTTAGGTAAAATAGCAATTAAATTTTAACCTTTTTTAATAGTAAAAAATAAGTGTGATTCAGTTTCAAAATCTTTTTTGTTTAGTATATTTATCATAGCCTTGCCTCCAAATAGTGTTATAGAAATCCTTTTACCACTTCTGCTTTTAATTATAGCTGTGCATGTGAATTACACTCACTGTTACCTGCCACCAAAGCTGTTTTTGCAGAAATGGTTTGTTTGTCAGCATTGTCTTTCATTAGACACATTTTTGGCATTTTCGCCAGGCTTTGATCTGCTCTGATTGTTTGCTCACCTTCTGAAATCTTTAAAATGAACAATATGTCCCTGGAAACAGAAGAGGAAAGAGAGAAGAGTCAGGCTGCAGAGCTGGCCAGCAGAGCACTAGCCAACCTGCTACCTCTCCATTTTGAATCTTCAAAGGCCAGGCCTGAGTTTTCTGGTCCCGGAATTAAGGTGTTTCAATTGAACTTTTGGATCTGTGTCTTCAGGTTTCAAATCAAAAGGGAAATTTATTTCCAGTATTTCTGCTATGTTTCTTCAACATTCTTACCAAACCTACATAAAATTGCAGCTATGTGAAATCATTTGGTCATAAGTACCCATTACCAAGACTTATTTTATGACTAAAGTCCTTTGCATATTTGCAACATTTTAAATGTTATATTGCTTTGTTAAAATCATGCCTGTGTTTGGAGAAAGATGATGTATTGTATTTGTTTGCAAGAGTTTCCAGTTTAATAAAAAAAATTTAAATGCCCCTATTGCATTTGGTAATAATAAAATTAAAAGGTACTAGGCTACCATACTAGCTTGCTAATGAAAAAGAAAATAAAACTAAATATTTGGCATTTTTAGGGTGAGCATGAAATTTTCTGAAATCTCTCAAATCCCCATTTTTAATTAAGCACTGCTTCAGTGAGGAACTATCTACATGTAAAATGTCAGCATCTGTTCTGTTACACCATGAATGCAATAATTTTGGGATAAAACATTTAAACTCATTAAAAAAAATTTTTCACAGTGATATTGAGCAATGATTTTAAATACTTCTAAAGGACTCAACATATTTTGATAATGTGATGGGGATGTTACCTAGGATTTTATCACTGTGGTAGGCATTTGTCAGAAAGCCCAGTAGCATTGAAACATTTTCTACATGAGGCCCTTTTATAACTGAGGATATATTAGTTGGCAGGTAGCAAGGAGGTGTAGGTGATGAGAGACCTGGCTTTTTTCACTTGGTGTTACTCAAGCAAAGCTCCAGCGTGATTGGAATGCTGGGGCTAATCTCTGTTTCGGATGGCTGCATTTTGGGGGTGGGGGTAGGAGATGAAACACTATAAATCATTTAATTCCCTTACTGTTTTTTAACCCTTAGAGCAGCGGTTCTCAACCTATGGGTTGCAACCCCTTTGGCGGTCGAATGACCCTTTCACAGGGGTCGCCTAAGAGCATCCTGCATATCAGATATTTACATTACGATTCATAACAGTAGCAACATTACAGTTATGAAGTAGCAACGAAAATAATTTTATGGTTGGGTCACAACATGAGGAACTGTATTTAAAGGGCCAGAAGGTTGACAACCACTGCCTTAGAGGATTAAAGACATCATTTTCTCATCTTTATGAGAAAGATAAATGCCATATTATGCTGTGTATGGGGTCTTGTGTTGATTTATAAGCATTCATTAAATCAGCATACCTTCTTAGACGGACAGATCCTTGGTATTGCACTTACTTTATAGGTTAAACATTAGGAGGATGAGTCTCTTCAGAGAACCCAGAGGCCCATAATCAGACTTTTGTTCTCTGTACCTCCTGTCTTTCAGGTACAGTGTTTAGGAATTCCATCTTGAATTTGATCTGCACATTTTATTGTGTCTCTTCGTAGATTATGTGATACCTATGTGGGAAATTCAGATGTCTTGGGATCTTTCAGCATCCTATATAATAAAAGGCTAATATGTAAATTGTGCCCTCAACCGGGAGTTCAACCAGGAGTTTGACCAGGGGGCAGGGCCAGCCGGCCAACCTCCCACAGTCCCTCCCCGCAACTGGCCCCGCCTCCGATCGCCCCACCCCCCCAATTGGGGGTGGGGCTTGCCCGCCAATCGACCGCAGCCCCTCCCCCCGGCCTCATTGGCCAATCAGGGTCCAATCAGGGTGGGCTGGCCGGACCTGACCCGTGTACAAATTCGTACACTGAGCCTCTAGACTAATATAATAAGATATTAGCAGCTGTCCTGGGTACAGGGAAGGATGCAGACCATTCTTGGATCTGCCCCAGCTCCTTGTCAGATTCACTCCTTCTTGCTCCTTTTTGGTTCTTATCATTCCTCTACCTAAAGTTCCTCACATCCACCAATTGCTCTTCAATTTCTTTGATTAGGCCTTAGAAGCACTAACAATATATGTACTCAAAATAACATACAGTGGGAGTTCATAATTGCCTAGAAATCAGTTTTTCTTTTTTTTTTTTTTAGTTTTTTTTTTTTTTATTTGTGTGGGAAATGTGTGAGGAATAGAACTTTGGGAATAAGTATGTTAATAAGAAATGGTGTAAGAAAATAAAGTAAAGGGGGTTACTGGTGGAGATAGGACCAACTTTTTAAACTCCCTCCAAAGATTCAAAAGAGAAGCAAAGCAAAGGAGATACTAATTAAATAAATACATTGATAGATCGAAGAAAGAAAAATAGAACACTAGTTTAGCTATGTGTGTATGTCACATAAACTATAAAGCAGAAATCATTAGTGACAGCAATAATTCTGAATTTATGTGAACTTCATAGTAGAAAATTTGAATAACTCAAAAATTGACAAGAAAAAATATTAGAGAAGACTTACACAATATAATTAATGGAGATATTTTTATATATAGTGAATGGAAATATATAAAACTTTGAACTTAATTAAAATATACAGGTAATTTTTAAAAGCACATGGAACATTTATAGAAATTGACCAACTAGATCTTTAATCAACTCTCAACAAATGTTATGATTTGAAACTATACCACATTCTATGAGTGTGATGAAATAAAGAACAAAAGGGTAATAAAACTACATTAAGAAACTAAAAACTGCACTTTATATTTTTTTAATAGTTCTTTATTGTTGAAAGTATTACATATGTCCCCCCTTTAACTCCATTGGCCCCCTCCAGGTCCCCCCCCCAGCTCCCCTCTTCCAGCCTCAGGCCTTCAGCACCCTATTGTCTGTGTCCATGGGTTCTGCATTTATGCATGCAAGGTCTTTGATTGATTACCTACCACCCACCCACCCTTCTCTGCCTTCCCTCTGAGCTTCCGCAGTCTGTTCTATGCTTCCATGTCTCTGGATCTATTTTGTTCATCAGTTTATTTTGTTACTTGGATTCCACATATGAGTGTGATCATGTGATACTTGTCTTTCTCTAATTTCACTTAGAATGATACTCTCCAGGCCCCTCTAGGCTGTCCCAAAGAGTAAGAGATTATTCTTTTTCACTGCTGCATAGTATTCCATGGCATAAATGTACCACAGCTTTTTTATCCACTCATCTACTGATGGGCACTTGGGCTGTTTCCCTATCTTAGCTTTTGTAAATTGTGCTGCTATGAACATAGGGGTACATACATTCTTTCTTATTGGTGCTTCGGGTTTCTTAGGATATATTCCTAGAAATGGAATCACTGGGTCAAATGGCAGTTCCATATTTAATTTTTTAAAGAAACTCCATACTGTTTTCCATAATGGTTGCACAAGTCTGCATTCCCACCAGCAGTGTGCTAGGATTCCCTTTCTCCACATCCTCGCCAGCACTTGTCATTTGAAAAACTGCACTTTAGGTAAATTAAGTCCAAAAGAAATTAAATTAGAAATTAGGAAATATTTCAAAGTGGACTACAATTTAAATTACATATCAAAAGCTCTAGAATGTAGCTGAAGACTTAGGTGTTTGTATTAGAAGAGAAAAATATTGATCTATGTGCCCTATTCAAAATATTAGGGAATAATGGCAGAATAATATATTGAAGTTAATAAAAAGGGAACTTATAAAGTAAAATGCATACACATATGTGCTGGAAAGAAATAGAGAAGGCAAAAACAACTTTTAAAAACAATACAATAGATGAATAGGCAAGGTTAATCAAGGAAAGAATATTGGGAGTGCAAAAGGGGACAGAGCTACAAAAACTACAAAATTTAAAATAGTAGGTTAGTTTGAAAATATTTATAAAAATAAAGGACAATTCCTAGTTTTACTAAAGCTTTAAATAAATGAGAAACTGTTTTTTCCAATCTGTTCCATATACTAAAAAGAAAGAAAGCTCCCTAATTTCTGTTATCTAACTTGTGTTAACTTGATAATGAAATGAGATAAGGTACATATTTAAAAAGGAAAATTTGAGTCCATCTTACTTAAAATCATATAAGCAAAAATTCTAAATAAAGAATTTGCAAATGAAATCCATGAATATTGGAGAAGGCTCATATATCAGAGCTAAAAATGTTCATTCCAGGAACACCAATGCAAAAGGAAAAAAAATCCATCCTGAGAAAAACATCAGACAAATCCCAATTAAAGAACATTCTACAAAATATCTAATCAGAACTCCTCAAAACTGTCAATGTCATCAAAAACAAGGAAAATCTGAGAAAATGTCATAGCCAAGATGAAGCTAAGGAGACATGATGATTAAATGTACTGTGATATCCTAGATGGAATCCTGGGACAGAATAAGGACATTAGGTAAAAATTAAAGCAGTCTGAATAAGTATGGACTTTGTAATAATGTTTTAATATTGGTTCATTAATTGTAACAGCATACCATACTTAGGTAAGATGTTTAGCAATAAGGAAACTTAACATGTAGTGTATGGGAACTCTATATACTATTTCAGTAATTTTTTGTAAATCTAAAACTGTTCTAAAAATTAAGTACTTTTTAAGAATTACTTCAGGAAAAAGTTGTAAGAAATCGTTCATCTTATTTATTTTACTTTAGAAAATTTTCATCTTAATTATTTTACTCTCAATATATAAACTTTCAAGCATTGATAATTTTCATGAAAGAATAAAGGCTGTACTCAGATTGTATTTCCAGGGTTAACACACATTTTTCTCCATAGATAGCAGTGAATGCCTTGCAGACGACTGTAGCATAATCGCCGGAGGGAACCTCACTGGTTGGCACCCAGACTCTGCTGCTGTATTATGGCGAAGAGTCTTGGGAATCCTCGGAGATGTGAATAATATCCAGTCGCCCAAGATCCATGCCAAAGTTTTTGGCTATCTCTATGAACTCTGGTATAAACTAGCAAAGGTACTCTTGCTATATTACCTTTTTACTCTAATATGAAAAAACCGACTTCGTTTCATTAAAACTGTGTTGCAATTCACCACTGAATACATCCTGGGATAATAATTAGGTGTTGACACAAAGTATATTTGTTAGTTTGGTCATTTTATAAATATGGAAGAGTCATTTCATTTAATGCATAAATATTATATTACTATAGGATATTAAAGAGTAGGGTATTATTTAGTAGTATTGATTGCTTTCTTTATGAAAGTGATACTGGTTTTATTGTATAAAATTTGAAAAATGGCCCAGCTAGTGTGGCTCAGTGGTTGAGTGTCAACCTGTGAACCAGGAGGTCATGGTTTGATTCTGTCAGGGCACATGCCTGGGTTGCGGGCTCGATCCCCAGTGTGGGGCATGCAGGATGCAGCTGATGGATTTTTCTCTCTCATCATTGATGTTTCTATCTCTCTCTCCCTCTCCCCTCCTCTCTGAAATCAATAAAAATGTATATTTGTTAAAAATTTGAAAAAGATAGAAAATCAAAGTAGAAAATTGATATCACTCCCCCACAGAGATAACCAATATTATGGTCTTTTAGGGGTAAAAAAAATTTATAAAAGTAAAATATTAGAGTACATACAATTTTTATTGTTTTTTAAAAATTTTTATTTATTGATTTTAGAGAGAGAAAAAAAAACATCAATTTGTTGTTCCACTTATTTATTCATTGGTTGATGCTTGTATGTGCCCTGACTGGGGATTGAACCCACAACCTTGGCATATCAGGACAATGCACTAACCAGCTGAACTACTGGGGCCTTTTCATTCTGGTTTTTGTTTCTGTTTATTACATACATTTTCATATATATATATATATATATGATTCATGTTTATACAGTATAAGTTGTTCAACCATTCTTATCATGTGGAGTTCAGGACCACTCCATTATATTCAAGAAAAAACAATGCCCTAGTTTTTATTAAGTCTAAAACCACATATAATAAGTTAGATATAAAATGACAATAGATCTCACAATAAAAGAAAAACTTGTAACTATTGTAGTTTTTTACTCATAGAAATTGTATTGGAAGCAGCTAGTTGACCATGGAACCCAATATTGGGATATTGTTGGGGTAAACTGTATTGCCTTCCCTAATCTCCTCTTTGTGAATTAGATACGGGATAATCTTGCAATAAGCCTGGATAACCAAACTTCTCCATCTCCTCCGGTCTTGATCCCACCACTCAGAATGTTTGCATCATGGCTATTTAAGGCAAGTGGATATGTTTTTATTCCTTTATTGTAATTTCCTCTTCCTTTCTGAAATTAAGTTTTTAAAATGTAATTTCCCAAGACGGCATGTTTTGAAGACAGGCTGGGTCTTACTAAAGCCAGTGTATCCCACATCTCCACAATCAACTCTTATGGAAAACTGAAAAGTAAAGGAAATGTTGAAATGCCCGGCTGCATCTGGAGTTGATTAAACCTTCAAACATCATCTTCTTGGCAGGCGACGACATTGCCAAATGAATATAAGGAAGGCAAACTGCAAGCCTACAAACTGATCTGTGCCATGATGACCAGACGCCAGGACGTTCTGCCAAACTCAGACTTCCTGGTGCACTTTTACCTTGTGATGCACCTGGGATTAACCAGCGAGGATCAGGTATTCTGTGACCCCTTTACATTGGTAGCCCATTATATGGGAAGTACATAGGATTCTTCACAAGTTAAATTTGAGTTTATGAAAATACATCAGAAATGTTAAAAGTTCTCAGTAGTTTTGACTCTTACATACAACAACACACTGGCCTTTCAAAAATGTAAATCAGATTTTTATCACATTCCTTGTTCTTCTCCCCACTGTCTTTGAATTGAACCAACCAAATTGGAATTTTATTCTATGGCTTGTACACTTCTATATGATCTAACCCAGGGGTCCTCAAACTTTTTAAATAGGGGGCCAGTTCACTGTCCCTCAGACCGTTGGAGGGCCGGACTATAGTTTAAAAAACAACTATGAACAAATTCCTATGCACACTGCACATATCTTATTTTGAAGTAAAAAAACAAAACGGGAACAAATACAATATTTGTATTTGCATGTGGCCCGCGGGCCGTAGTTTGAGGACCCCTGAATTCTAACCTTTGCCTATGTTGTCAACCTCAAAAATACTATTTCAACTGCTTTTTTGGGGGATTCTACATTAGATATTGTTTGAAGAAAATTATTCTGGTCATTTAAAAATGTTTGAAAACTATCATTTTAGAAATTAGGATGTTTTTCTGGAAGACCTCTTCCATAAATTATGGGTCCTGACGTTTCCTGATTAGGAGTTATTTTAATTTCTATCACAAAGAAATGTGATTGGTGGTTAAGTTGAAAGGCCAAGGAGCCACCAGCAATAGCCCCTCTGTGTAGACCCTGGGTGTGCAGGATGGGATGTGGCCAGCCTCTGGCCTTCCTACCTCGAGAAGTCCCCTGCTAGTGGGCAGAGGGTGTGGGGGGAGGAACACTCTGACTCCTGATTTTCTTTGTAAATATCAAGCAGTCAAGTGATGTAATTGGTTTGTATTTCACAGAGATTATTCTGGACTCTGTTTGGAGGATGGATTTTGAAATGTGACAGTGGTAGGATAGAGTCAGAGGTCGGGCCTGGAGACAGGGAGATTAATTAGGAAGTAGTTAAATGAATATAGATTTAAAAAAAATGTTGAGAAGTAAGATGATAGCATTGAAGATGGAAAGAAGGAATAGAAAAGATTCAAGAAATTTTAAGGCATTTAATTTTATCTAGATCTTCTTTACCAATATGAGGTATGGGGAGTGTTCCAGAATTTACCCTTTGAATTGTAGATACTTATTAATGAACACGAATCATTCATGAACTGTAAGTAGCCATACTTTCTGTATTCCTTCTATCCTTGAATGTGTGAGACAGATACACAGACTTTTTGGTGCCCCTAGGATACATGTAAGAGGTCATTCTCCTGATTGACCAGCTTTTCTTTGTTGCTTCAGAATGCACTTGAACCTTCCCAACCAAATTCCTGAGATATATTCCCTGATAAACAATTTGAGCTTTAATCATTGAACTTTTACCTGAAGTAATTAAACCGTGCTGACCTATGAGTTGTTTTTGTCATAGTTGCTCCAGTTTCAGCATTATGTATAGGACATTTAGATATCAGGCTGGACTTAAACCCATAGTCTCGTTTATTTCCCAAATAAAAGTAGAAATGAATGTGAAAGTAGAACTGTTTGTGCTCTGTGCTCAGATATTGTGCAGCCATCATTGCAGGTGGAAGCATCTTTAACTGAATGATGCAACTCAGGGCATGTGGAAGATTAAGGGGTTTAAATAGGGAAGAGAATTAACTCTCACAGATAATAAGGAGATCCCCCAGTGACCGAAACAAGAGAGGAAGATGTAGTTAGCGTGCTGTACTTGAAAGCAGTATTTGCTAAGATTTTGCAGAAAAAAAATTTACTTGGAAATAATAATCAATTGTAGAATCTTCTCTTTTAATAAAAGCAAATTTGAAATCGGCAGTAAACAATATTTCTAGAATAAGTTTTCTAGAAAGTCATATAATTGGGTGTGACTTTGGAATCATCTTCCTGTTTTAAAGTGTGTTAGAGTGAAAATGAAACAACAAAATGAGATGGAATAAGTATAACATTTGAGAACCCAAAACAGTATTTCAAAAAATTGGATTTTACAGTGTAGAAAAGGGAGTTTTCAAATTTTATACTTAAAATCATTTTCACATTTTAATGTATGCAATGTTTTTTGTTAATTTGATCTTTTGTAAATCATTTTAAAATAATGTAAATCTTAATGATGGCCAATCGCTAACAGTATTTCCAACGTCCAGACTTCTAAGATGGAAACGGAGATATCATAAATCTCTTTTTTATAATCTGCCTATTGTTTGGGACATTAAAAGCTTCAATTCTTATGTGTTTAGTAGAATTGACTGTTTTACTTTAACCTTTACAGTTAGTGGTATATGTTTTAGAAGCCCTGTCTGCCAAACACAATTACTCTAAATAAACTTTGTTCCTTTGCCAGAAGAAAATTGAGCAGAAGACCTTCTAATGAAAGAAACTTTTCTCGTTTAAGTAAGAAATATCTCTGGTAATTAGTTTAACTTTTGGGCCACATGTCTAAATAGATCATGATAGTTGTTCCAGAACTTATATGTACTTCTGGAAACACATGTTATATTAATTATAAAAAGAAAAGATAGCTTTTACTGTAAATAGTGCAGTTAAACTCAATTTTTTAAATTGGCAAACTGTGCACCTGTGACCTGTCTGAGGGCTTATTTCCATCTTGTGGGAGTTCTTAAAGAGCCACACTTCCATGTAGTCTGGCACTAAGGGCTTTCTTCCTGCAGATAGAACCTTCTAATTTTTTCTTATTTTGTAGTAAGATAAGTTATAGCAAATAATTTTATAAATTTTAACATTTATTTGTCTCACAAATAAAATCCAAGGTGAATTTGTTCCTTTCGCCTCTGGGTGGCACACTTGCCTGCGAGATTCAGCTGTGTGGCTCAAGAACCACCACTGGGCTCTAAACCTGCCTTAGACCCAGGGCCCTGTGAGCATTCTGGTGTGGCACGGTCCTTTTACAAATGCTTTCCTAAACCTGAGAGTATCAAAATTATGTCATGAGGGACTAATAAAGGGTTGAATTTGAAATAAGCTCTAAGATGTTGAAAATCTTTTTTTCAGATATAAGGGTAACTACTTAAAATTTATTTATTTATTTATTTTTAATCCTCACCTGAGGATATTTTTCCATTGATTTTTAGGGAGAGTAGAAGAGAGAGGGAAAGACAGAGAGAAACATCGATGTGAGAAAAACACATGGAATTGGTTGCTTCCTGCACGAACCCCGACCCAGGCTCGGGCCAGGAGGACGCTGCAACCAAAGTATGTGCCCTTGACCGGAATCGAACCTGGGACTCTTTGATCCGCAGGCTGACACTCTATCCACTGAGCCAAACCCGCTAGGGTGAGGACCTTTTTTAATTTAAAAAACAACACAAAAACTTTGTGAAATAGATGTCGCACAGATTGTGTTCTATGATATAATGTAAAGTCATGGTTTAATCTAATAACAGCACTTTTTAACTGGTGTACCATGGCACAAGAATTTTTAAAAACATGCAAACCTGACTATTTAGTCAGGGGCACTGACCTCTTTTTCCTTACCTAGCTTGTCAAATAAAAAAAGAATAAGAGCCAACACAACAATAGCCGTCTGGTGTGAATGAATCAAAATTACATCTATTTTTTTTGTCAAATTGGTAAAAAACACGTATTTTTTGGTGTGCTGCAGAATTTTAGTAATTAGCTTATGTGTGCCATGAGATGAAAAAGGTTGAAAATCGCTGATGTAATATGACAGCAAATTATTTATGTAAATATAGTCACCTCTATATTTAAAAAAATAATAATTCTTACATGGAATGGCTAGAATTCAAAATGTTACATTCCAAACCAACTGTTTTTAATATTGGTTGGACTGGTTTTAGCTATTCTAATAATTTAATAGCTAAAATAATGACCTTATCAAATAGCATTACCCACAGTGTAAGTTTATGGCTTATTAGTACGATTGAGAAAAATACTTTTAAATAACTTTATTTTTCCCTTGACACTGAATTTTTAAAAAATTGATTGTTATTGGTTCAGAAAAACAATTAGGATCATAAAGACTCTCAAAATAATTAGAAATCATGAATGAAATTTTGGGTGACTTGGACTGCCCACCATGCTCATGAAGGGGTCTTGCAGGTGGCTTCCCTCTGCTCAGCTGCTGTGTTGGGGTTGGGAAGTGGGGGGCGGGGGGCCGAGGGCCTTTGTTTCCCCGGCACCCACAGTGCCAGGCTCTGCTGGGAACTGCACGATGTTGTCCCATTGATTCTTCTCTGCAGTTCAGTTAGATAAATATCATGACCCATTGTTTAAATAAGGTTCAAAAAATATTGAGAACTTTTGCCCAATGCCACTTACTTTTTTTTTTTTTAAGACTGTTATAATTCACAGGCAGGCCTGGCTTATTCCACAGGGTATATCTTTTTCATTGATTCACAGCTAGCAAGTGGGTCATACAAACAGTCCTTGGTCCTATTCCTCTGTCCCATCTTGCCTTACCTGGGCCCTGGCCTTGTCTCACCCCATCTCAGGGACCTCCTTTGAAATGCCATCCCACACCCAACCTGCAAATACCTTTTCATAGTTCCTTCCTAGTTCATCGCCATCTTTCAGTTTCTCTTCTAAAGCTGTTCCTGGTTCTTCTTAGGTTTTCCTAATGCTGAAGCAGATTTTTCACCTCGGTCTTCTTAAAAATATGTGGACATGAAAGGAGCTATGATTTAAGTTTATTAAGAACAGTTCCTATTAATTTCATCATTATTTAAAACATATGGAAAGATCAATATGTGTGAAATGGAAAAGGACAGTTGAGGAAAGGAATTTTATTTTCATGTTTCTAAGAACATATATCAAAGACTGGAAAGTTTTCTTTGCTTAAAATAAGTAAGCTATTTTTTAACAATGACTTACAGATTTAATGTCTTAATGTAATTTGTCTGTTCTACATCAAAGTTAAATTCTCTTTTAAATGAAAAGCTTATATTAATGTAGAA